GGCATTCCAGGAATTCGTCGGTTCGTTCTAGACTATCAGCAGAAGTCAAAACAATGTAACATCGCTACGGCCTTGAAACTGGCCTGTGTAGTTCGTTGCCTGCGTATGCTCTACCAAGTCCAAATGTAGGATGTTGTCCTTATTCTGTCTTATTCTTCTTTATATTCTTATTCTATGTCGAATCGGTAAGACTCTGGGTGACTGTAAAGTGGTAAAGGATCTTTAGTTTTTCTACATTACGTGATAGAAAAATTCAATGTATGATAGGTTTATTCCGTAATTCATCTTTGTATATTATATGTAAGATAGTTCTGATAAAAATATTTCTCTTCTTGATATTAAACGTTTCATATTTACGTGTCGTATCATCCGATAACGAAGTGCTCAACTATGCCTGCATTTCATAAGAGCACAGTGTAGAAAAATAGAATTCGTTAAAATTCGTGTTACAATAATCGAAACACGATGTTTGCACTTACGGTCGATTTTCTTCATCTTCAAATAGATTTCGTGAATATTTCGACGAAGTTTTTCAAGCTAATATCACAAATGCCCTTCTTTACCCTAAGTTTTCTATAAATTAGAGATATTTAGCAATTTTCTCGTGTGTTGAGTCGGTAACATGGGAAACGACATTATCGATCGACGATAAACTTATTCGTGCAGCAAATATGTCGATAATGTCGGTAAATATGTCTGTAGGTAATGTTGTAATGACTTGGGTATGGTAAAGATAGTTCAGAACCTAATATCTCATGTCGGTAATGTAAAAAGCTGCAATAAAATTGTGTGCATGAATTATTAAATAAATTACCAGTGATCGAATAAAAGATTGTACTTCCAAACATTTATTATTTCAGGCTTCGTGATATTATGATAAGTTCAATATTATCAGATTTTATGATAAGTTCAATATTACTAGGTTTTCACGAAAAGTTAACAGATTCGACGACAAACCATCATGGTGTCTATACTTCGTTCTCGAATACGTTCGTAGGCGACTATATTTCGTTCTCTAATTGTTGTGTAATGGTAACTTTGACTTTTTTACGTGAAAAGAATTTTTTGAAATTTCACAATATGGGTACAAGCCCATCAAATGCTGAAAATTTTCGTTATAGTGGATCGGTAATGTCGGAAGTGACATTAAATGGTGGTAAATTGTATAGCCAACGATGGGTAAGATTAGAAATATTATCGAATGGTAAACTGATTTTGCTTCTCATTTATGACTCGTCTAATATGAAGTATTCTGTCGTCGATAAGTATCTACTTTATCATAAATAAAGTATAAAATAGACCTTACAACGCAGTCGATCATGTTATATCCTAAGGTATTTACCAACTAATTCAACATTCTCAGCTGTTATCGACCGTGTAGTATACGAACTACAGAAATAAAATTTCAATTGTAGTCGAATATTAGATTAACCTTAAAATTCTATTTTCACTATTTTCTATTAAACGAGTCTCCCAATTCTATTCAATCTCCGAAATATTTTAGAAGTATCGCAACAATTCTTCACAAGTCAAAGTAACATTCACTCCATTATGGTATCAATTTTCGCCAGATTATGGTACGGTTATTATTTTGCTAGGTTAGGGTACATCGAATCTCGACACACGATAAAATTGTTGATCAACGTAGTAAATCTGACGGTTGCAAATAAACCGACAGCGTGGTACAGTTTACATATCTTTAATTGCAATAGTATATTTACAGCATATCATGGAACATTGTAATTACAAAAATATCGTTTTACAATACGACGCGAGTCGTATCTCTCTCTAAAAGTGCGTAGCCGAACGCGACGACTAATTCGCCTGAGCGAATCTCGCGATACCTTTCCAACGAGGGTCACGTAATCGTTAAATATATTTAAGAAATAGTACTGTCATTTTGAATCGTGCTCGCACAATGGCCGTGCATACGCGTTGGGTGAAAATTCTCCCCCATTCGGAAACGCTGATATATACATACGTGAACATAGGTTATATTCTCTGACCAATATGGCGTCGCCAGTGGAGCGGACACGCGTAGCAACGATACATAGAAACAGAGACTTAAGAGTATGATACGAAAGATGCGAGCAACTTTCACCATGCACGTCCGCCGTTTAATCACGCATTATGCGAACACTTAACGCGTTTCTCCATGACTTAATTCTAAAATCGTGGTAATCACGCGTTTACTTTCGCGCTGTCCGTTATCTCGATTATTCGCTCTCGATTACCGGTTCAATGGATACGATGCGATTACGTTTAATCACGCTCTCAAAGATCAGCCTAGGATTCATTGAAATAACTTAGCGATTTCGGAGGCTGTGCTTGGTTGGAAACAGACTGATCATTTGCTTTTCCATCGAGCACGAATATTCGAGATCCGAAGACGAGGCATCCACCATCGCGTCAACTTTCCCGCCCCTCTATCAGGCTTCCCTATCGAGCTCCCCTCGTATCCGTAACTGATCGCGTTTCCAAGTCACTCTGATCGTTCTCGATTCTGACTACGACGAGGAATAGAAACGGTTCGATGAACAGAGAAAGGCCATCGTTTGGTCGATTTATTCACTGTTATTCCCGCGAGATGATTTGTCCAGGTCGTCGCGGTGTTATCCTGCGCCTGGGTGCCAGCAGGCCACCGAGTCCTCTGGTCTCCTCGTGTTTCGTACTCGCGGCTGTGCTTGTCTCCGCGGAGGTGGCCTCGGTTGCTTCCGTCTCGCTGGAAATGTCGGGCTCCTCCGAGGCTTCCTCCTGACTGGTCTGCGCCACTGGGGCCTCGGTCACCTTGCGGCGCGGCAACAGTGGCGACCTCCTGGACGCTAGCGACACCGGGGTCCTGGTGGTCGTTTTTGGATGCACCTGTATTCTATTCCGATTGCGCAACTTGTTCAGAGGGTTGACAGTGGTGGGACGCGCTGGCGGTGGGCTGGTCTCCGCGGGTGCCTGAAAACGAGTAATTTGCGTGAAAGGATCCGAGTATGCGTGACAGCGTTGGAAAGACGAGAAACAGCGAGTGTCAAGGTATGCAAGGCGCGTGACATTTTGCGAAAGGGCATTTAGTGAAAGCGAAACCCGGAGGGAAGTTTGACCGAGGTCACGCGCGCCTAAAAGCTACGTAGAGAGATGAGCTCACCTCGTGAGTCTCCTCCTCGGTTCCCTCGCCTGCTGGTTCATCGATGGAAGATTCGTCCGCGTTATCCTCGGGAGATGGCGTTGTGGTCGTGGTCGTGGTTGACTGGCCAGGTTTCGGTCTGAGGTTTATCCGTGCCCCGGGTTTAATGACCGGTCTTGCCCCTGTGGCAGGTAGTCTCGCACGGACAGTGGACTTTGGAGCCGTGGTCACTGATTCCTGGGTGGATTCCTTGGCCGTTTCGGAACGATTGGACTCCTGGCTCTCTTCGCTGCCATTCGGTGCAGTGGTGGTCGGTCTGCCGCGTCGTCGATTGATGTTCAGTTTGTTGAAGGAAGGTCTAGATATTCCTGAAGGTCCACTGGACGACGCAGTCGAGCCCCCATTAGATGGGACCGACGTGGTCGTCGAGACTGATCTCGTTGCCCCGGACCCACGGAATCTTCCACGAGTACTGGAAGAGGGTCGTTCAGCGTGAACCGAACTCGAGCTCTCTTTTTGCACCGCGTCTTCCTCCACAGAGGTAGATTGCTTCTGTCCTGGTCGATTTCTCTTAAAACCACCTCCGTTGGATCCGTTGCCACCGAAACGTCCTCGCGTTCGTTGCGTCGGTTCTGCAGGGGCCTCGGTGGTCGTCGTACTTCCGCCGCCATTTGATTTGATTCTGTTCGAGAAAATGGCCGTTTCATCATCAAGCTGCATTACTGTAATTACTCACAACCCCCGTTACAACGAAATTTTTAACGAATTAACTGATCTTAATCGTTCTATCTCGCATTCGTAACTCGATTCATTCAGAAAGGAAGGAAATTACAGTCGAATTGGTTGTTTAATTCAATAGGAAATTCGGATGCTAACGATTGTTGCATAAAAGGGTGGTTTTGAATGTGGTAACACGTGTGCGAGCTAATCAAGTGAGACTTTTTAAGCACAATGTGTACGCATATGTAACTTTCGAGTCATTTGACATTATGCAGGAGTAATTAAATAAGTTTGTAAGAAAAACACGAGCTATTCGAAGTCTTACCGGTTTCTAGAACCTGTAGTTCCACCGAAACCCGGTCGTCTGAATTTTCCCCTTCCAGCCGGTGCTTGAGTGGTAGTAGTAGTCGTGGGTGCTTCGGTTGTCGTGGTGGTGGTAGTGGTGGTAGTACTGATAGTAGTCGTCGTAGGGGTTGTCGTGGTCGTGGGTTCCGTAGGCGTTCCGATAGTGGTCGTAAAGGGCTCGACGGTTACTACTTGCGTGGTTGCAGACAGTTCTGTCACGGACCCCAAGTCGGTAGTAGCCTCGTCATTGGAAAGCGTGGTTGCATCCGAGAAGGAGTCGCTGGCTTCGGTACTAGATGCGTCCACTAGGTTAGTTTGACCTTGCTGCACGAACGCGTACAGGTCCAGCGCGGCCTTGTCCATCGAAGATGGATACTCGGTCGTTGGGTTCTCAGTGGCTGTCGAGGCTGTACTCGCTGCTGTCGTTGAGGAAGACTCTAACTCTTCGTACTCTTGCTTGGACTCCGTGGAAGCCTGTTTATCCTTGCTCTTCTCTGCCAACGAGGACGTTTCCTCTTTCTCATCTTCCTTCTCCTCGCTAGCCAGCAGAGATTGACCTTTACTGGGCTCTACTTCCACCTGAAACGCAAGGCAAACGTAGACATTGGTGTTCCTATTGTTTGACAGACTTGGACCAATTTAGGATGCTGTTCTATCACTGTGTTGAGAAAATAGGACATGATAATTACATCTGTGGAGACTGTAGCGATGGGTCTTCTTCTAGTCGTAGGAGCAGGCACGTCTTCTATGATTTCCTCGACAGGCGCTGGTTCTTGAACCCGCTGAGGCCTTCCTCGTCCTCTGGTCACCGTTCTTTCATCCCCGTTCTCCTCGTTGGGTGTCACCCCGAGGAATCGAACGGGTCCTTTCGGGAGTACCTGAGGGAATTCAGGCCCTTCCTGGTGCGTGCGGAAGCTACTCGAGTCGACCAGGTCTAGGCCAGGTCTAGGCCGATTTCCACGAGTTCGGGAGGGTTCGGTGGTCCCCGTATTGTGGTTCGATCGCGACCTGTCGTTGTAGGAATTGGCAGCTGTATTACTCGAATAGATGGCAACGGGTAGAGCGAAAGGTAGGAAAAGCACGAACCACGTTCGAGAATCGATACTCACCTCGGTGGGAACCTGGTGTTGGTTGGTAGCCTTTCCTCGGACACGTCCTCGGCTTCGACCAGCTGTCTGCCTCTATTGTTCCCGTTTCTGTTCGGAATGACTTCGTTGCTGGCCGGTTCCACGGTGCTCGATCTTTCCACGCTACTGTACTTGTTTCTGTTGCTGGACGAGCCGCCGCGCCTAGGCGCGGATGTAGTTCTAGAAGGAACGTCGTAAGAATTGGTGACCGCCGAGTCCGCTGTACTCGCCTTATTCTCATCCTCCTCGTCATAGTAATAATATACGTACTCGTATTCGTAGTCCTTTCCGTTCGGTCCCTTTTTGACCTGCGCATACAGAAACGTATCGAGCGAGCTCGAAAGATCGCTAGATCTTGGATTGCTCCTAACACTAGCACCGAGAAAATCGGAGATTTCTTTTTACCTGGATACGCGAGTTCGTGCCAGCGGGGACTAAACTGACGTCGCTGAAATCGCCAAAGTTACGATCACGGAAGGACGTTTCTTTACCGTCGTCACGGATGATGTTTACCGGGACAAAGTCGAAAGCACGACTCTCCCGAGCTGTCGTCAGGACTGGCATCATGGTGGTCGGGTACTCGTCGCTGGAACAGGGAACAAGAGGTCACTCGACTGTCTTTGAGCGACACAGTGTCGAATACGTATAGCATGTTCTAGAAGAGATGGCACAGCGTGTTTACGTTCTCATGGCTGACTAGTACCGTTGACAGTTTCTTGATTACAGGCAGCGATAGCTATTGGCCGAAGTCACCGATTTGGTCCAAATTTTGTAGGATGGTAGATTTAGTTCCCCTGATGGTGAAGGTATACGATTATAGGTGTCACTACTCGATAATTTTTGAGATATTTGCAATTGAAGATCGAACTAAACCTAGGATAAATCTTCGATTGCAACTATCTTGAAAATTATCGAGTAGTGGCACTTATTACATACTTTCACCATAAGAGAAACTAATAAGGAGAATGTAAGTCCTTCGGGTCATAGATTTAGTTGAAACTTTGCAGGTTTGTAAATTTAGTTATCCAGGACTATTCAAGAAGATATATCATTATAAGAGCAACTACTCAATAGTTTTCGAGATATTTATGATTAGAGTTTTATTATTGCCTTAATTACAGATTTATTTCGAATATTTATCAAGTGACGTTATGCCACAATGCCACTTGATAACTATCAGTAACTATTAGAGAGAAATCTCTAGTGAAAAATAATAAAGCTTTAATCATAAATATCTCAAAAACTATTTAGCAGTTGCTCTTATAATGGTCATGGTACTTGAACTCCATGACTAAATTTACAAATCTGTAAAGTTTCCACTAAATCAATGACCCAAAGGACTTGCACACTCCTTGTAAATACATTCTACAAAATTTGAACCAATCAATGACTCGAAGACCTTACAGTCTCCTTATGAGTGAGATACGATATGACAGTATCTGCGTTAGTTTTCTCATAATAATAATTATATTATAATAATAATTTATAATTCATAGTTCATAATAATTTCATAAAGACTACGCTGATTCTGTCATATTCCATCTTACTCGATCTCCCTACAGCCTTTCAATGATCTTCGTGTCCGATTTCGGCCAATAACGATCACTGTCTGTAACGGAGTGAATGTCAGCGAAATTTGTCAGCCATGAGGATGAAAACACGCTGTGCCATCTATTGTCGAACGCACTATACGTCGAACGTTTCGCTGTCTTTACCTCACATGCACCCCAGGGATAACGGAGTCTCTTTGACTCTGCACGCGAGACCTGTGCGTGTCCGACCTACGGACACCATCTTCCTGAAGGACGCCGGTATCGCCGAAGTTTTCTAATTCAACACGAACTTGTCGTTTCGCCGTGTTGTCCGCTTTGTCATCGCCGGCGAAATCGAAACGCCTGACCGGATCGAGATCGCTGGACTTCTTGTCGAAGCTGTCAAACTTCGTCAGAACCTTCTTCGCGTGTTTGCCATTCTTCGTGATCACCTTCCTCTCCACATCCACGACGTCGTCGTCGTCCTCGTCGTCGTAATCCGACGGTCTAGCTATGCTCTCCGGCACTTTGTGAGACGTTACAAATTCTACGAGCAGGAGAGAATAGTTAAAGATCGCTCGAACAATTAAACGAGGTGAGAGAAGAGATTCGTTACCTTCGATGGTTACCGCTTTGCTCCTGGTCTCGTTGTCGGCGAGCGAGTTCGCGACAACGCAGGACACCCTAAAGGAAAAGGAAGTATAGTGACTCTTTCGTCGTTTTCGATGGTTACCGCTTTGCTCCTGGTCTCGTTGTCGGCGAGCGAGTTCGCGACAACGCAGGACACCCTAAAGGAAAAGGAAGTATAGTGACGCTTTCGTCGTTCGAGTCTCTTAAGGATACTCGGACTTTCGATATATCGATTGACTTGGTTTATGGAAGCGAAGAATCAGTGCAGAGTTAGTGAGGAGTGAGTGCAGAGTGAGCGCAGATTCTCCATAGCGGAGAGAATGGCCGCTGTAGGGGTTTTAGTGGGTAAAAATCCCACATAACCTCGTTCCCTTCCCTAGGAGGACAGGGTATCTATTAAAGATTTCCCTCACGTAAATACAAAAAGAAGAGTCAGTGAAGAGTTAGTGCAGAATCAGTGCAGAATTAGTGCAGAGTCAGTGCAAAGTTAGTGTATATTCTCCCTAGTGGAGAGAATGGCTACTGTGGGGTTTTTATTCGGTAAGAATCCCACATAACCTCGTTCCCTTCCCTAGGAGGACGGGGTAGACATTAAAGATTTCCCTCACGTAAATACAAAAAGAAGAGTCAGTGAAGAGTTAGTGCAGAATCAGTGCAGAATTAGTGCAGAGTCAGTGCAAAGTTAGTGTATATTCCCCCTAGTGGAGAGAATGGCTACTGTGGGGTTTTTATTCGGTAAAAATCCCACATAACCTCGTTCCCTTCCCTAGGAGGACGGGGTATCTATTAAAGATTTCCCTCACGTAAAAAAAAAAAGAAGAAAAATGTCAGTGAAGAGTTAGTGCAGAATCAGTGCAGAGTGAGTGCAGACCCCCATAGTGGAGAGAATGGCTACTGTGGGGTTTTTATTCGGTACAAATCCCACATAACCTCGTTCCCTTCTCTAGGAGGATGGGGTATCTATCGAAGATTTTCCTCATGTAAGAAAAAATAAAAGTGTCAGTGCAGAATCAGTACAAAGTCAGTGTAGAGTCAGTGCAGATTCCCCACAGCAGAGAGAATGGCTACTGTGGGGGTTTTAATGGGGAAAAATTCCACATAACCTCGTCCCCTCCCCAAGGGGGACGGGGTAACTGTTGAAGATTTTCCTCACGTAAAAAAAAGAGAAGAGTCAGTGCAGAATCAGTGTAAAGTCAGTCTAGAGTCAGTGCAGATTCCCCACAGCAGAGAGAATGGCTACTGTGGGGGTTTTAATGGGGAAAAATTCCACATAACCTCGTCCCCTCCCCAAGGGGGACGGGGTAACTGTTGAAGATTTTCCTCACGTAAAAAAAAGAGAAGAGTCAGTGCAGAATCAGTGTAAAGTCAGTGCAGAGTTAGTGCAGATTTTCCATAGTGGAGAGAATGGCCACTGTGGGGGTTTTAATGGGTAAAAATTCCACGTAATCTCGTCCCCTCCCTAAGGAGGATGAGGTAACGATTGAATATTTTCCTCACGTAAAAAAAAGAGAAGAGTCAGTGCAGAATCAGTGTAAAGTCAGTGCAGAGTCAGTACAGAGTTAGTGCAGATTTCCCATAGTGAAGAGAATGGCCACTGTGGGGATTTTGTGGGTAAAAATCCGGCTCAACTTTGTCCCCTCCCCCAAGGGAGCGGGATATCTATCGAAGATTTTCCTCACGTAAAAAGGAACAGAAAAGAGTCAATGTAGAGTATGCTAAATAAAAATCGTCTGGCATGACTTTGGCATTTCAGTCGAAGTCGTCTTCTAGGGAAACATGGTAACCAGTCGCGAAGTTATAGTCGAGATTTTTAGAAAATCGATTCCATCGTCTATCCCTGTGTCAACGATGACTCAGGATATCCTGATCAAAGGTAGCAATTAGGATTCTTGCCATTCGAAACTCATACCGGTATCCGAATTGATTTATTTCTTAAGAGAAACTCGAAAGCAGTCTCTCCAAATGCATCGTCTATAACTATGTCGAGAAATATACATAAACGCGAAATATTTTAAAAATACAACGTTTGTTTGAAATGTGAACCAGTGAACTATCATTCCTCGGTATACTAACAACGCGAGACCACTTAAACGAAGACACTGAAATCAGGCGTGCCATCTGCCGGCGTATCCGCGACAACAAAGGTCAGACAGCACGATTTCCTAACAATGAGCGAGAACTATGAATCGCATATAACCTTCGACATTACAGCCTTTTATGCGAATTTTCATCGTTCAATCTGCCTCGATCTCCCGGGAAAACGTGGAAACGATTTATGAACGATGATTACGAGCGTTCGAGATTAGATTAAAAATCGATTATCTAACAGTAACGTCCGGAAGAAGGCAAGCTATACTCGATGGAAGATGAGAACTGGAAGCCTTTGTCCTTCGAGACCTGTATCGTTTCTCGCACTCTTTGCGTCGGACTCGGCTCGCTTTTCGGCTGTTAGCACTATTACAGTGGATTATAGAGGATGCTAGAACGAAGATCGCAGCGAAATCAAACGCATTATCTCCGAGAAACGCGTACAGATTCTACTGCGAGACAACTGCTCGGGTATGGTGAAAGTTCGTGTCTGGCCGGTGAGCTGGAAGCTGCAGCCAACTTGGCTTGTTCTCTTTCAAGCGGTGGTATCCGATCTTTAAATCTCTCGATAAGCTCGCGTTAGAGTGTAACCGCAAAGTTGGAAGAACCGTGATCGCGCACAGGGATATTCTCTCGGCGAAACCGCTCGCCACGCCGTTGAACAAACTGCAGCTCCTCGATACGATCGATTAGGCGAACTAGCAGGATCGACCAGAGAGCATGATCGTTGTAAAATGCTCCCGAAATCGGTAGGCCGCGCATACTGCTCGCGAAAGGACCGATTTTGGCGACGCGCGGGGACAATTTAATTGAAAGAAAAAGTCAAGGCCGTCTAGTAGCGTGCCTGAGAATACGGGCGCGACCTCGTCCTCCTTTGGCTCAAGGTTGTTTGGTCAGATTCGCTGAAAGAGCCGAAAATTTCGGAGGATCGAGATCCATCGAGTCCCATGACTCCCAGAGCGCTTAGGCGATGCAGGACTCGGCGCGAGATCATAAACGCTATGATAAACGGGTGGATTTTTACCAGGATCCAGCGAAGGATGGAAAAAGAAAAGCAGAAACGATGGAGCAGCTACGAGGAAACGAGTTATCCGCAAGGTCGATCGGTTACGATCGATTACCTCTGTCGACGAAGGAGAGCAGCTGCTACCGTGAAATTAAAGCGAACGTCGAGGGCTTGTCGCGTGTCGGGCAGGGCTCCTTGACAATTCATAGCCTGTCTTGGAGAGGAGCTCGTGATCGCGCGAAATGATCGCGATCTTTTTCTATCGCCTTCCACGCGTTTCCGTCCAATAGAAAGTCGATGGCTTCGCACAGTTCTGCCGCGACATTTGCGATCGCGATCGAGAGGAACGATATGTCCTGTCGATTGCGCGTGGGATCGACCGATATACGTAAACCCGTCGATACGGAGATAAGCTGCTCTGGCGAAAATCTCGCGGCTAATTTTCACGGTTATCGACCTGCCGTCGTTGGTCGGATGAACGGGAGCCAGCCGCTGGGTTCGTCGGGACTCGATGAAACGGATTCCCGAGGAAAAGGTGCACGCGTATAGGTCGCGAGCGAGAGGCGATGATCTCTGCAAATGGGATACGAAGGTTGAGCCCGAGACGCAAGCACAACGATGGAATTTAGCGTGATTCCATATGGAGAAAGCTGTCTCGCTTACAAGCGTATCTACGTAAGCATACAACGTGTATACGCGAGTATCTGCAGTGGCACGAGACACTCGCGTTACGTAACTCATAACATTACCGCGAAAGCCTACTGAAAATATCGGCAAATATTTTTTCTCTCACCCGAGAAACGTAATTTCACGAATCGCGCGTTAAATAGCTTCGCAAACGTTGGAGGATGTAATCGAGAAAACTTTCTATTTAACCTGTTTTCCATCGTTGCGCAAAAGATCGCTCGAGGATGCGAGATATGGAAGAGAGAGAGAGAGAGAAAGAGAGAGAGAGAGAGAGAGAGAGAGAGAGAGAGGCGAAGAAAAAGAGGAAATCGAAACGTCCCCGACGATTTTGCAAAAGTGCGTTAGCGAAAGTTATGGTTCCTCTCCCTCTCTTGTCTCTCTCTCTTTCTCCTCTCGATTAGATCGCAGGAGAGAGTCGTTGTTCGAACCTCGAACGGCTAATGAGATTGTAACGATGTAACGACTATCGAACGACTCTAGTCGTATCGAGATTCTTCGATCGTTCGATAAGATAGGTTAGCTTATCTCTCGTTGATCGATACCCTCTCGTCAGCTCGCGGGAGAGGATGATCCAAACGCCGTAGGTTGCTCCGAGCCGATCGAAGATTAGGATCCGCTGTCACGAGGCGGCTTATCTGCTACCCCGTGCATGGGATTTTCGATGTAGACGCGAGATACGAAGCCTGTGTTGGCAAAGTTGGGCGCGATGAGGAGAAAAGGCGAGAAAAGTGAAACCCAGGACTACCGGTTCGAGCGAATAACGCGAGCGAATCGCAGACTCTGTTGCCCGGGCCATGCTTCCACGTTAATTACCGGCCCCTGGGGACGTCGTTAGGAACGAAAAGTTGGGGAGAAATGAAAAGGAGACCGCGATAACGCTCGGCTTGGGCCACTAGCCGAGCTTCCGAGCGAAACGAGTTGCGAAATAGCCTTCGATCGATCGGTCGGTTCAACGTACCAGAGGACATGTCTGTCTCGGGAGAGGTCCGCGAAGATCTCGCGTCGAATGTTAAGGTTGTAGGATCGTGGTCGAAGGATCGGTACTTACAGAAGGATGACCTTTAACCACATGACTGTCGCTGGATTCTTGCTCGGTCCTCGTTTGTTCCTCGTGTGTCCCGCGACGAAGAGGCGAAATGGCAGCGGCTGTGACTGGTCCAGAAGCTGGTCGAGACGCTCGTGCGTGATAAACCTTTCCCTCTAGCGAGGTTCGGATCGCGGTATGTTTGATCACCGGTATTCGAAAAACGAACGTAGGTCCGCGCGATGCGGTCTCGCGAGGATACTGCGAACGAGAACACGTTTCGTCACCGGACACTCGCGATCATCGTTGCCCTCTGCACGAGACGACACTCGTCTTCCAGCTGCGACGAACCGGTCTGAGAAATAGGGCCCAGTCGATACGACACCGGCCGTTTACCGACCTGTACCTTCGATAGCGTTTCACGCGCGTTCTGCGTACCTGCCTGCTCTCGCCTGCTTCCTCCAGGTAACTTGCTTCGCTCTCGCTCCGGCCCTCTTTCTCTCTCCCTCTCTTTGCTTCGAGAACACGCAGCCCTCTTTCTCGGCAGCTCAGACCACGAAACCGAGACAAAACGTGGAAAAGGAGAGAAAGAGAAGCGGAAAAAGACACGGAGTAAAAGTAAGAGGTAGTCGAAGGACGTGGTGAGGGTATGAGAACGGCGGCGAATGCAGGCCTCTACTTATACGCCACCCACCACGGCCACCTGGAGTACACCCCACCAGCCCATGAAAACTGGACACCACGTAGTCGAACTCGACTCTCGATATACGCGACTCGAGAACTCGACTCGAGAGATCCTGACTATTTGGTTGGTTACTCACTCTTTCGTTCGCTTGCTCGTGTTGCTGCTGGTTCACCTAGTTAACCGTCTATTCACACCGCAAAGCTCCTCCTCGTCTTGTTCTCGTCTGCCTCGACCGGCTACGATCTAGTTTGCTTCGTCCACCACGACGTAGTCTTCCCTTTCTTCTTCTTTTTCGTCTTCTTCTTCTTCTTCTTCTTCTTCTTCTTCTTCTTCTTTTCCTTCTGTTTGTTCTTTGGCCACCTTTACCTTCTTTCCATCCTCCACTGCCTCGTCACACGGGAAGACCGTTGACTTTTACCTTTCCCTCTCGTTACCATCCGCGTTTCGTTGTCTCCGTGGATCACGGAGGATTCGCGAGAATCGAGCGCGGGAATTCCAAGGTGTCGAATCGCTTTTTGTTCGGCGTAACCGCTTTCACGAATCGCGTGAATCATATAGCAGCGTTGAAAGGCACTCCTTGGACGTGCAAGGAAGATCACCGAGCACAGACACAGTTAGAACGTTGACAAAGTGAAAATGCTCGACGGGTTGGTTCTTTCCCTCCACATCGAGGATTCGACTATCGAAGGATCCCGATGACTCTTACTTTCGTCGTGGCTCGAACGAAATTTTCCACCGACTAACTGAAACGTTATCCGTCGAGCAGACTGTGCCAGTCCTATCGCGCGGCTTTCTCGCGATTGGTATCGTAGGTGTCAAGGCCCGTGGGTAAAGCTGCGAGTTCCGTAATCATACACGTACAAACTGTATTCAGCTGGAAGCACAGCGGCGAGAACCAGAAGGTAGGTGCCGCGTTAAAGGTCTTTACGTCTCGTTGCGCAAGAAGAATGTCGATCCATTAGGACCAGGCCAGGCCAGGCCAGGCCAGCCCGTGCCACGGTAATCCGCGACCGATTGCCAACCGATACACCGAACATTCGCATTGACATCGATTTCTTTCGTCTCTTCCTCCTCCCCTTCTCTTCGCGCCTCTCTTCTCCGTTTTCCCTAGCAGCCTTCGCGAACAGGTTGAACCCTACGCGAGATCACGCGAGACCACTGGACCACAAGGTTCCCGAAGGTTCTCTCTCGATCTGCTTCGTGGATCATGGGTCGTGGTAAGCGGAGAACACGGACAACCTTGTTCCTTGAGACGATTTGGACTAGATCAAGGCTGCGGAACGTTGCATTTCTCGATCCGTGGGTGAAAGATCGCAGGCCTGGGCGGTGGTTGGGCGGAGGTTGGACGGAGACTATGGGGGTTTAGGGCCGGGAACAACGGGATTCTGTGCTGCCCGATTATCCCGTGGCACGGAAGGTATCCGTTTCGCTTAGGCATCAAAGGACAAAGTCTGCGGCCAGCCACGGTAGGCATATAAGCGCGTCGTTGATACACCCACAGAGACTGCTACGTATATACCTACGAGACTTTCTCTCGACAAGGAGAGCACTCGTGCGCGCCCCTTTGCCGAGCAAGCACGCGAAACGACAGAGAACAATGTCTTCTCTTGCGCGTTATTATAGTACAATGCGACCCGACCGGCATAACCGGAGGAGAGCTCTAGGTTTGCCTCGTGCATCGAGACTGGCCGGGAGAGTCGTGTGTACGAGGTTCAGTCCAAGTAAAGTCAACGCGTTACGATTCGCTTGCTCGTATATGGATGATGGATGAATTAGCCGCCTGTGCTCGATTACCATTCAACCTGGCGCCTACTATATCCGCCGCCCGCTGCTGCACCTTCGGACCTTCTGCGTACAAATCGAAGGCTAAATACGGCCGGCCATTGACTGTACGCGCCCGTGAACACAGGTGCGCCGAGTATACCAGAAATTACGACCGTGCACCGGCATTCTCCAACGAGAAGGACGGTCTCTCGTCGCAACGGGTACCCTCCGATTCCAGCGAAATCACCTTCGTTTCCATCCACGCTCCGTCGTAGTTCGCGATCATCGTCGTATTTCGCAACCACACTCGTCTTTTTTACGTCCCATACGCAAAACGTTGCAAAATGCATCGTGAAGCATCGAATACGTGACGCATCTCGAAAACAGCTACTCGTGTAGGCATTCCGCACGGTAGAATAGGGCTAGCCTCGGGCTGAGATAAGACTGATCTGAGAATAGATGGAGGTTAGCTTGGAACTAGACTAGCCCTTGTCTGTGGCGAAACTATAGCTGGATTGAAGTCCGAATTGCGACTAGTTTGAAGTTAGACTAGAGCTAGGCTGGGATTTGTACAAATAAACTCGAATTAACTTAGGACCGAGATGAAAATAGACTGGTCATAGACTGGACTAGGACAAGCATAGAATTATACTGGGAATAGATTGGAATCAAACGAAAAATAATCTAAAACTGAGATGAAAGTATATTAGGACTGGGGCAACAGTGGAAATAAACTGGTATTAACTTAGGACTAAGATGAAAATAAACTGGTCCTAGTCTGGACTAGGACTAGCATAGAATTTTACTCATGATAGTTTCGGATCTAACGAAGAATAGTCTAAAACTGAGATAAAAGTATATTGGAACTGGGACAATAGTGGAAATAAATTGGAATTAACTTAAGACTAGATTGAAAATAAATTGGTCCTTAACTGGACTAGGACTAGCATAGAATTAAACTGAGGATAATTTTGGATTTAACGAAGAATAGTCTAAAACTGAGATAAGGGTATATTAGAACTGGAACAGCAATAGAAACAAACTCGAATTAACTTAGGACTATGATGAAAATAGATTAGACTAGCATAAAAAAATAGTCTAGAACTAGGATAAAGGTATATAGGACCTAACCTTGAGATCGATTAGAGCTAGCTCAGAGCAGAACTTGGGCCAAGCTGAACCTGAAGTAGGGTTAGGACTAGCTTGGAAATGGATTACGATTAACCTAAATGTAGAGTAAATTATAGATAGTCTGGGACTACTCTAAAGCTAAATGAGGACCAATTTGGTGCTGTACTAGGAAGAAATGTGTAGTAAATCCATCGGTATCTGTTTCTTTCAATTTTAAACGACTCATCGAGGATGATATACACGGTGAAGAAAGATCGGTGGAATTTCGATCGTAGAATATCGATAGGTTTACGATCATACGATAAAACGGAATGCATCGATGCACGCGATACATGCTCGGGATACTCGCGAACGACTCGAGAACCTTGACTGCACTTTCGCGGAACTCGGGCTGCATTTCAATGGACCTTCACGGTTCACGCGATTTCTCGATACACTTTCGAGAGACGTTTTGTCGCGAGGAATTCACAAGAAAAAGGAATCACTGTGAAATTTTTCATAAAACTGCCCGCGAGGCCACGTTTCCCGAGTTTCACGTCAGACGGGAGCCTCTCGTTACAAAATTCTCACCACGAACGACGATTTAACGTTAAAAGCCCACGCCTTCCCGTTCGGTATTTACACCGGTACGATGCCGGATTCGAGCCTGAACTTTCTCCGTGGTCGCGTTCTAGGTAGCATATGTAACTACGACGAAGTTCGTGAACGAGCTCCTCGTCGACTCCTAATCGACTTGGATGACAGGCCAAGATCGAAAGCCATTGAACGCTCCGTCGTATACGAGGAACGCGATTGCGCCAACCGATCCTCCGTTTGCTAAACTTTGCGGCCAGACACCGCGCTGTTGCGTTCAGTCCCTGCGCTAGCCACTGTACCCACCGTCCACCATTTCGAAATTCGCTTCAAATTTACAGTCCCTGGATGAATGATTCTTGAATTTTTCCATGCGACATGCACAAAAGTACCTAATCGAATCGAAACAGTGTAATCCGTGTACCTAATTAGCCCTCTATGCCAGTCCCTATGCCAGAGCCTAAAACGAAATTCGAGTCGGGCCGTGAAAGGCAAATGGGATCGCCTAGTTGGAATCGTGGCAACGTATTCTGTTTCCTACGTAGTCGGCGTGGAAACAACGTTCGACGTGTTAAAGAGGCAGATCCACGAGAGGATAACGCGATCGGAATAGAAAGCGAGCGAGAAGACGGGGCAGATCGGAGCAGATCGGGGCTTCGCGGCGCGATATTGCATAGAGACGAAGCTAAGATAAGATCGGAAAAGCGGTTGATATCGCTCGGTTGATAGAATTGGGGAAAAAGTGACCAAAAGTAGCGAAAACTGGCGAAAAGTCTGGGTATTGGGATTCGCTTTTACAAAAAAAGTTCACTTTCTCTGACCACGGGTGTGTCCGTGACGATTGGAGTATCGGCTGGACGTGATCGAGATCGTTATTGACGATTCCCGCCGTTT